CGCAAATATCTCGACTTGTTTTCAAGATAAATGGATATTTTTTTTCATCCAAATAAAGACAACAAGTGAACAATCTTTAAGATGATACCAATAACTCTACATGCACAAAAATTGACGAGAGCCTGATTCCACCACGCTGCCTCACATATTATTATTTAAAGGATTTTATTATATTAAAAGTCAATGTATTGTGAAAGGAATAACAATAGCACGGACGATCCTAGAACCGACAAGAATTTATCGAACATGACCAAACCGTTTCATTTCGAATGTTATTCACTCAACAATGTTCTCTTTGATCCAGGCATCTGTGATGCAGGCCTTGTGTGAAGTGAAGGCCAACCTCAGATCACTTCAACAAGAATGGCTCGAGGCTCAAGTCATTGCAGGATCTGCTGTTCTGCCAAATGTAAGAAAAATCATTAATGTTATTATGATTTTATTTATGATACAAATTTAGGGGCGGTTGGCGGGTGCTCTGCTGTGGTTTGCTCCTTCTTTCCCATCCAACATCTATCGTCCTTTTTTCTCCTTCTTATTTTTTGCGTACCTTACTCTTTTGTGACACATCTATTCTTCGGCACTTATATGACTTTATTGTGTTGCAGGTGCCGTGAAACTCTAACTAAAACTAACACTGATACAAATTCTGTAACAGCATATGTTGCCAGTGTGTCTGTCGCTTACTAAAACTAACACTGATACAAATTCTGTAACAGCATGTGTTGCCAGTGTGTCTGTCGCTTACTAAAACTAACACTGATACAAATTCTGTAACAGCATGTTGCCAGTGTGTCTGCACTGAAATGAATAAAGGTAAAAATGGGCCTACGATCAAAAAGAAGGTTTTATTTTTACCGTTAATTCTTTAGGAAGCACTTTTTTTCTGTTTCTAGCACCTAAGTGCTGTTGTTCAACCGCTATCACTACTACAACCGCCAAGACATCTTTACTTTTTTCCTGCAAATTCTGTTGTTTTTTTTTAGCCTTTAACCTACGTTTTTCTGCAAAATTCAAAGAGGTGTTTGAGGAAGAAAAAACAACAACAGCAACAAAGTAATTTGATTTTTTTTAAATGGCAGCAGACAGAAAATGTTGGATTCTTCAATTTCATTATTTTGACGAGCGCCTGATTTCACCGCGTTGCTTCTCAAGTGCCAACAGTAACACACAAGGTCACTCCATTGTCATTGTCTGTCCCCAATCTTCATCAGGTCATGGTGGTGTCGGTGGTCTAGTGGTTAGACTACCGGACTTGTAATCCTGAGATTGCGGGTTCGGGGGTTCGAGCCTCAGCTCAGTCCAACTTTATGTCCTTTGGAAAGGCACTTTACCCGAATTTCCTATCGTGCTCGGTCCTTTCGGAGATGGGCGCTATACTCGGAGGTCCTGCCTCTTAAGTAACCCCACAGTGTTGATGGGGGCGTTAAACCTGCACATTTCATTTCCTCATCAGATCCTGGCCCATGACGACGTGATAGTCTCTAAGTCTTCCCTGGCGAGACTGGCCTCTGAATGTGAACAGACTCAAGCCCTGATGCCACAGCTCGTCTGCAAAGACCTCGTTGTGAGCGCCACACGGCTGCCGGTAGTAGAAGCAGGTAGGGCCTATACGATAGGATAAGATAAGATAAGATACGTCTTTCTTGTCCAGATCCTGGCACATTGGTTTGGAGTTTCACCACGTACACACATACACACACGTGTGCACACGCGCACAAATATATATTATTATACACACACACACACACACACACACACACACACACACACACTTACAGTCACATACATAATATAAATGAACAGTAATAAAAAAGAACCGAAATTGTAAAACGTAATTCTGATTCTTGCTCTAACGTCATATCTTGTAACAA